GCACACCAGTAACTCGATAAAGTTTCATCTTCAGACAACTGTGAAGACAGTTTCGCATTTCTGGCAGAAGGACGTCGGCCATTACTTTGGAAACAATATCTGTCAAAAGATTTGCTTTGTAAACATTAGCACACACGTCAGCAGCGTACACCCATGGGCAAATAGTAGACGCTAAATTAACCAATCAGAGCGCGCGCTTTGCTTTAGCTATGTTATAAATTTCCACGTGATTGGAACGCTTCTTAAGCGAATAGATCGAACGTTATCAACAAGGGCGGAGATGCAAAAGATGTAATTTAAGGGAAAAAATATTACATTTCGCAATAAGCGCTTCCTAGCAGAGTCCATGCATACGGCCGGCACGCCTGAAATTTGAATTTACCAATCAGGACTCTGCAGGCAGGAAAATCTCTACTGTCCTGACGTCAAATGCATGTCAATTGAAGTCGAGCATCTTTTCTCAATAGAGACGGCATTAACTATTCACGAAAAAGTATTTTTTGACTCCAAAAGATATATCAGATTGTATAGAGTGAAAAATATGAAACATTTTGTGTCTCCAACTTTTAAATTAAGCGCCAAAAATAGGTCGCCCGCGCTCAGCAAATCGCTGTCGCCATGCAGGATAATATAAGTTGTGTCATTTTGGACATTTTGAACAAAATATGCTGTTCCTTGTCGAATTAAACCCAGAATTCTTGAGTCGAGTCTTAGACGAATTAAGCCAAAGCAACTTAGAATTGTCTTTACATTTTGTTAGCTGTGAAGAAAAAGACTATTATCGTGACGTTTCGGGAGGACAGCTAAGTTTTGACTGCCGCTCGTACTGTGGGCGCAGCCACCGTATGCAAGGTCTCCCTTCCACCTTGAATAAGCGCACCCCTTGAACATTGGTATTCAATCAAACCAGGAGCCATAATCGGGGACGGAGACCGTAAGTCTCGGGATCCACGCGCACCTTTGATATGGGACAAATTTTCTATTTTTAGAACAAACTGCGCCATCCTGACGACATATATCCGCGCGGACCCACGAACATGTCGTGGGTTCGCATGTGGATGTTGTCACGTTGCGTGATCAAATGGTCACAGTGAGAGTTGCGAGATTCTCTAGCGGATTTTTCACAGCGATGGCGTTAAATAAGGCAGAGACTAAGAACCAGGGCGCTTATATCTAGTTTTATGCGCTGAGCTAATGAAATAGGTGAGTTTCGAGTTAATTTGGGAGTTTTTCAAACAATGCTTAATCAAAACCAAAACCTGTTTTTGACGGTTTCTTGTTTCTGCTTGTTTGGCGAGTTTGCAACAGTTTTTGAAAGGAAAGCCTGACGGGTACAAGTAGCTCATTTGCACAGTGCAGCGCGTGCACTTTCAAGTCCGAGTCGGTGTTTTCAAAGATTTCTTTCGTTATCTTTTGTGCTGAGATGCTGCAACAAATTTCACCAACGCCAAAGGCTACCGAACATCATATGTGTTTCTTTAACATGGTTAAGTTTTACACTGCAAAAATAAAATAGACAAGGAGTTTTGATAACTCGACCAACAAAATCGAAATCGTTATTCGAAGTTGATTAA